AGCTTGCAGCTCATTAGGGCCGAGGTAACCTTTTGTTGTTTTCTTGGTGGATTTTGACCTAAACAAAACATAAGGTATATATACGAAGTTACGACAGAACAAAGTACGTTGCTCTAAACAAGAATGCGTCAACAGTTATTCGAAGAAGCATGTGACCCTATCTTCAAATATTTTTACGAGATAAGTTCATCAAAAATGGCAGATCCCACGTACAGTGGAAATCTATGATATGCGAAGCACGACTGAGGAAGGTTGATATGTTACTGTAAAATCAGCACTACGTTATGAGGCGGATGTTATTGATGCCGTACTTGGCTTCCATATCATGATAATTATGTTTGGACGTGCCAGTTACCTTCGTCGTCTATTCAGGTAAATTGATACCAAATTTTGGTGTATGTGGAGCTAGCCAAACTGCCGCCACTTCACTATGAGCGCAGGATGTAGTCATGTTTTACATGACACGAATGTCATGATTATCATGTTTGCACCAGTCATATACGTTCCTCATTAATTTACGTCACATAATACCGAATTCGGGATATGTGAAGCTAACAAAAGGGCCGCCAGCGCATCATGAAGGCAGCATGTAGTCATGATGTTACATGACACGCATCTCAAGTTCATAATGTTTGCACCAGTATCATACCTTCGTCGTCCACTCGCGTACCCTAATATGAAATTTGGTGTATGTGAAGCTAGCAAAACGATCACTGCGCACCATGAGCACGGCATGTAGTCAAGATTCACATAATGTGCAGGTCATGATTTTCGCGTTCGGGTTTCTCACTAATGTTTGCCACGCAAGTCATGTCATATTATACCAGTTTTGCAATATGTCATGTGAACGAAACTGCCGCGATAGCAGCAAGACCATGAAATATAAATTACGACATTCATCACATACATGTCATGATTTTCATGGTCTAACTTGTCACTTACGCTCGCCATGCAGTTATGTTAAGCCATACCAAATTTGGTATCGACACTATTATCAAAACGGTCTGGTAAGCTATAAGTCATAGGCGGCTAGATAAATGAATAGACATATACGGTCAAAGCCGCTGAAGTACGCTAAGAAATGCATCGCATTAAAAAAAATCGCAGCATATCTAAGGAGTGAATGATGATGAGTGGGGAGAAGCGTTCATGCGTCCGTCCATGCGCCTGTCCATGCGTCTGTCTGTCTGTCCGTGCGTCTGTCTGTCTGTCCTCACAAGTCCCGCCATCTCATATGTTTTCATCTTATATTTATCCTATACAAGTACCACCCTCCAGTGGACATTGTAAGGACTAAATGAGGGGTGGCGACTATAGGGACGTCACGGGATATACGACACACGGCGTAAGGTACTTAGAACCTAAAAACCATTGCTTTTTAATCTATCTTAAACTTGAGCCTCCTGCAAACCATTCATTTCTCCGCTACAGCCACTTTGCGGAGATACTTCCGTTTCAGAAGAGTCATGGCTCGGGTGAGTTGGTTATCATAAACTTATCTCGTATTAGCGCGGAGGAATATGAAAAGAAAAAAAGGAATAGACGACACGGACGTGGAGAAAGGCGGGTGCTATCATTAGCGCCTACATTTCAAAACGTTTGTGCCCTCTTTTTCTGGTTCTTGTTCATTGATATAGCTGAATTTTCACCTTTTTACCTACTGTTTGGTTATGAGCCGCCTTTGCCCATGGACACCATGCTCGGATCTGGTGCCCCCTCATCGACTGCTTATGCTCGTGATGCCCTGGCCCGATCTGACATTGCCCGCAAAGTCGCCCGGGATCCTTTATGGGCCTCGCAGCTTAACCAAAAGAGTGCTTACGATCGCTGGCACCTCGACGTACAGTACTCCCCGGGGTCGCTCGTCTTGCTGTGGTTACCATCACGTCGTGTGTCTCTGCGGAAAACTTATATCCCATTACGTTGGCTCTTACTGCGTCATACGCAAGGTCACCAGCGTGACCTATGAGATAGCTCCACTCCATACCACGTCAGTACCAGCTTCAGTCCCGACCGATAAAGGGCACGTCTCAAGGCTTAAACCATACTACTCACGCCCCGATAATTGATCGCACCGGGATGATACTTCTGCCGCCGGTGGGTAATGTCACGGGCTAAGTAGATGCCTGAGGATGACGACGACGAAGTGCTGAGGGGAACGTGCTCGGACTGCAGCAACGTTGTACGCATTTATTCGCCAGTATATTCATCGTGCATGCTTTATTCCCCGTAACAATATGATTGATTTTATATGATTCACTCCCTTTGTTTTCGTTTGAAATACTGGTAGGACCCCCCACTCTCATTTTGAAAGTCTACCGTTTTAACACGGTCTTATTCGCGCACTAGAATAATATATAGCTAAAATGTGGCCGTAGCAGACAGCCAGGCAACTCCCGCGCGCAGGTAGAAACTCAAGCGCTCACGGCACTGTCGGCAAGCTGGCGCAGTTGACGTTTGTGCAACCTGTATTTGTGGCATGTATGCCATTTCATGTTAAGTTGCGAAATGCCTCGCAAGTCAAACAGTCTGGCTAGCGTGAACGACACCATAATTCTGAAAGTAATCCTTCCTGAGACATCCAGACTAAATTTTCAAAGCAATGAGAAAGACGCGTTAACATATGTCTTAAATTTAGTTTGTGATAAGAAACTTACAATTAGTACTAAAAGACCTTTGTAAAGTTCAACAATACGCGCCTTGGCACATTCAGGAGCCGGCCATCTATACCAACAGCCACCATATCCAAGGTATAGGCAAAATTATTACACTAGAAGTAGCCCACTTTTCGATTCGCCTGCAAGGTTATAAGCACACGCTTTTTTACGTTTTAAAAGTGTGGTATCCACGTCTAGTTACGTTCATAAATTAATAGTTGCGATGTAAGTACCCAATTTTCAGATCTTATCGTAAGCTATTTAAAAGCTTTTTCCTCTTTTGAAATGGTAAGTCGGAGTTGCCGTGAGTGGCTCCTAAATTTCGGAAACAGAAGAAATGTCGTCGTTGGTCAGCCGCACCATCTGGATCTTCGATTCCTGTGACTGAATCAGAGAGACGCTACGTACGTGGCCATAGTAATAGAAATACATTTGACGACCAGGGCTGGGCAAAGGCACTTTGAATGGTACTGCGATACGATAAAAGGAACTCGCAGAAAAACTGCCGCCCGCATATTCCCACGAAGGCAACTCAAGTAAATGCGTCGCAAAGCAAGGGGGGGGGAGGTATCACGTGAATATTGTGTAATTGGTTATGGTTATGGAACAGTTAATTATTTTGTTTTCATTATTCTTATTTGTCGATGAAAGGAGAAGCATTCCTTACCCTCACGTCAAGCGAAAGCCAAGTAAAGATTCCCTCGACTGCACTTCTCAATGCACCATTCCATTCCTACATATATGGGATGGCTAGTGAACAGTTGTGTAGCACGAGCAGTTGTTTGGATGCAAAAAAACTCTTTGACAAGCCTGTGTAACGCTGTCCGTCCATATCTCCGTGCCAACGCGCTGCACCGTGCTCCCCTCGGCGAAGGTTTGGGGGCTGTGCCAAGTAGGTCACACCTTCCCTCGCAGTGCGCGGTGACGTCACTCTCTCCGTCGCTTTCTGCGTGCTCACCGCGTGTCACCTCTCTCTCACTACAGCTCGCAACTACAGACCTTGCTACAGCTCGCAACACGCCAGTGCATATCGAGTGAACACTCTTTCGGCTCGTTTTTCTGAGATTGAGAGGACAACAGAAAGTGATGCTCCATCGCTAGCCGAAACATTCACGGAAGCGATTTGGCGTAACCCACATGTCGCCAGCTTTGCGAGGGTTAGCAAGGCCAATCGCGTTCGTTCGCGGGCCGCCGGCAAGGATCACGCTGCGCAGATTACTTAAACCAGCATTCCGCCTAAATTATGAGTGAGCAGGGAAGAGGTCAAGCATACAGCCGTTGTTACTAAAGCTGGGTGGTGCGCACAGTGGAAGAGTCCAGCGGGTATGAAAGAGAAAGCTACGCGCCATACGCCTCCCGGATAGTCAGCACCTGGTGCAAGCGAACTGGTAATTTTTATTGAAGAGCTCCACCTGTCAAATTAAAATGGTGTCGTAGTTCTGAGTAAACAGGCTTGCCAGTGCATAGGTGCCGATTTTTCTAGGTGACTCGAAAGCTCACTCAACTGAAACTCTTAGTAGGGTGTCCCAAGTTCTAAACTTGCCAGCATGTACGTTAATGTAGCAGCGCGTAACAACCAAAAGCCCCAGGGCCGTTTTGTTGCCCTTCCTTATGGTATGTGGTGTCGAGTCGCGCACATAGCCTGGCATCGCAACTGATACAATGTTTGGCACCGTATCGAGGGTACAGACGCCGACTTATTGACTCAGTGCGTCATTTGACATGTTTCAAGATTGAAAAGATACAACAGAGGTGCTTGAAGGCGTAAAAACTAAGCAAACTATTCGCTGCTTCACCTGCTCAAATAGCGTTATTCCATGCGAGTCATCGCTTCAGACCAAAGTCTAATAGGCACCAAGGAAATCTTACGTGCTTGACGGACCCTCCCAGTAACCTTGGCATAAGTTTCATCTGGTCGTAACTTACTGAATGGATGGTATTATAGGGGCAGAGAATTAGAGCAGTGGCTGGGTCAAGTCTAAGGACACGTGGTAGCAGCGCTGTTACATGGTCATCAGTTTAGCAATATTTCGCAAATACGCATTGGCTTGCTTTGCTTACATCTATGTGGTACGAAGCATCGCACTCCCTCTCATAATATATTTAAGAAGCGAGTGCAGTGTCTACGAGAAAAAAGGAGGTTTTATGATTATCGACCACAACAAAAAAAAAAGGTTCATATATAAAATGAAATTAGCTGCTGGGTAAGCCTGCTTCTTTTTTCCGGAAAATAAACAATTCTAAGGTTGCGGTAAAAAAAATTACGAATGAGTATCATTGTAATAATGGCAATCGACTTGCAAAACACTCTTTAAAGCAGTCATGTTACACAGTCAGGCATATATATTTCGCACATGTCATGCAGTAAAATATAAATGAGCGTAAACAGCGTAAAGACAATGTTCGGTCATATATGAACATGTCGTCACTGTAAGAATGTAAAATAAGGCTACGTATTTACCCAGCAGAAGCGTTAGTGTCACCCTCACTGAAGTGTCGTCGTGTTTTTTTGAATTTTTTTTCTATAACGTCTCCCACACTTGTGTCAGTGTATCGGATCCCAAAGCTGAAACACGAGGGCAAAATGAATTCACTTCCCCTTTCTGCAAGGGCAGACCAACGTGCGAAGTGAGAAAGTTAAGTTAGTTTCGTGCGGCTGGCCCCTCCTTTTTCTTTTGGACCAGGTCTATATATCAGCAAAAAAAGAATGACATTGCAGCGCCGTAATAGAATAAGAAAAAAACGTGTGCTCAAAAAAATTAGAAGCCCTCGACATAATAATTCAAATAACATGCGATATCCATAATACGTAACTAGAAGAAGAAAAATAAACAAAAGAAGAGCATAAGTGACACTAAGCGACGTCACTACCAAAAAGAGCACTTCTTTGATGGGTTCATGGGTGTGTTTGGCGCACATTGGAATGCCTCCGAGAATGCGGCCATGTTCATGAGGGGCACGATGCAGCGAGAGCGGCCCGGGGCATATCTTTCTACAATCACACGCTCGCTCTCACACCACTTCGCACAGTGACTAATGAAGAATAGATGCTCGGCCGTCAGGTTGAGGCCCGGTAGCGTCACATTTCGCTCAGCAAGGGGTAACGAAGCGAAGGCTGCGTGAGCGATGGCGACGCCCACAATGTCAGCCAGGTTCTCTGAGTCGATGATTGCGTCAAGGTCAGCCTGCCGGGCTCTCCTCGTTTCCTGCAAATGATTTGTGCCATTATTATGTGTGCATATTACAAATCGCTCTTACGGTAGAATGCCTTTCGAAACAAAAAGGCTCATTCAATCGCGATGCCCGGAGCCTCATGAGCATAGGTACGACCAGCCATGGCATAGACCACATATAGTGGAAATATTTCCGCCACACGTTTTAAAGGATTCGCAAAATCATTTTAAACGTTTGGCGGACTTGGGGGAAACTTATTGATGATGGCTGTGCCGGAAAGGCTAGTGGAAGCAGTCTAATCGACATCGATGTCACACGGCTAAATCACACGTTTCAGAGTGGCTTCAATACCTTAGTGTTCTAAATTTGACGTGGACTACACTTACAGCGAAAACTTTGCTTCATTCTTTATACAGCTGAAACTTTAGTAATACAAAATTGATAGAGATATAATTATAGTAATACTATTGTTCGGGCATAATGTCCCAAAGCCACCATATTATGAGAGGCGCTGTAGCTGAGGCTCCGGAAATGCGACCACCTGCGGTTCATTATCGAGAATCTAAATCTAAGAACACAGGCCTCAAGCATTTCCACCTCCATCAAAAATGCAGCCGCCACGGCCAGGACTCGACCCCGTGGCCTGCTGGTCAGGAGCCGCGTGCCTTAGCCATTAGACAACCATGGCGGAGTATGGTTATCTTCAGACAAGGCTGAATGTTATTTTCGCCTCATAATGCACATGAAAAGCTACTTCTGGTAATTTATACCAGTGGAATAAATACCAGCATATGCAAAACAATGTCGGAGACGGGAGAGAGTAACGATATAGCTAAAATTATTCTCAAAAATTCAATCAGCACCCGCGTGGTACGAAAAATTGGTGTTCACTGCTAGTAGCCGTTATCAAGCGGTGGGTGTGCAACCGAACATAGACCAGTGTTCAAAAAGAATGGAGCCGCATCTTAGTTATTTATACACAATGTTCTTGGTAACAGCAGATATAGAAATTGAATGTAGCATATCGGCAATCGGGCTTGCGAGAAAATTTTAGGTACAAAGAGGAATGGTTGCAAGCTTGCAGCTCATTAGGACCGAGGTAACCTTTTGTTGTTTTCTTGGTGGATTTTGACCTAAACAAAACATAAGGTAACTATACGAAGTTACGACAGAACAAAGTACGTTGCTCTAAACAAAAATGCGTCAACAGTTATTCGAAGAAGCATGTGACCCTATCTTCAAATATTTTTACGAGATAAGTTCATCAAAAATGGCAGACCACACGTACAGTGGAAATCGATGATATGCGAAGCACGACTGAGGAAGGTTGATATGTCACTGTAAAATGAACACTACGTTATGAGGCGGATGTTATTGATGCCGTACTTGGCTTCCATATCATGATAATTATGTTTGGACGTGCCAGTTACCTTCGTCGTCTTTTTACGTAAATTGATACGAAATTTGGTGTATGTGGAGCTAGCCAAACGGCCGCCACTTCACTATGAGCGCAGGATGCAGTCATGTTTTACATGACACGAATGTCATGATTATCATGTTTGCACCAGTCATATACGTTCCTCAATAATTTACGTCACATAATACCGAATTCGGGATATGTGAAGCTAACAAAAGGGCCGCCAGCGCATCATGAACGCTGCATGTAGTCATAATGTTACATGACACGCATCTCATGTTCATAATGTTTGCACCAGTATCATACCTTTGTCGTCCACTCGCGTACCCTAATATGAAGTTTTGTGTATGTGAAGCTAGCAAAACGATCACTGCGCACCATGAGCACGGCATGTAGTCAAGATTCACATAATGTGCAGGTCATAATTTTCGCGTTCGGGTTTCTCACTAATGTTTGCCACGCAAGTCATGTCATATTACACCAGTTTTGCAATATAACATGTGAACGAAACTACCGCGATAGCAGCAAGACCATGAAATATAAATTACGACATTCATCACATACATGTCATAATTTTCATGGTCTAACTTCTCACTTACGCTCGCCATGCAGTTATGTTATGCCATATCAAATTTGGTATCGACACTATTACCAAAACGGTCCGGTAAGCTATAAGTCATAGGCGGCTAGATAAATGAATAGACATATACGGTCAAAGCCGCTAAAGTACGCTAAGAAATGCTTCACATTAAAAAAATCGCAGCATATCTAAGGAGTGAATGATGATGAGTAGGGAGAAGCGTTCATGCGTCCGTCCAGGCGCCTGCCCATGCGTCTGTTCGTCCGTTCGTGCGTCTGTCTGTCTGTCCTCACAAGTCCCGCCATCTCATATGTTTTCATCTTATATTCATCCTATACAAGTACCGCCCTCCAGTGGACATTGTAAGGACTAAATGAGGGGTGGCGACTATAAGGACGTCACGGGATATACGACCCACGGCGTAAGGCGCTTAGAACCTAAAAACCATTGCTTTTTAATCTATCTTAAACTTGAGCCTCCTGCAAACCATGCATTTCTCCGCTACGGCCACTTTGCGGAGATACTTCCGTTTCAGAAGAGTCATGGCTCGGGTGAGTTGGTTATTCATAAACTTATCTCGTATTAGCGCGGAGAATATGAAAAGAAAAAAAGGAATAGACGACATGGACGTGGAGAAAGGCGGGTGCTATCATTAGCGCCTACATTTCAAAACGTTTGTGCCCTCTTTTTCTGGTTCTTTTTCATTGATATGTGTCGCACTAATACAAGCTAAGCTCACGTTTCAGGTTTCATTGTAAACAATGTTTATTCAATGAAAAACCATGAAAAAAGTGCTCTTTTGTGTTTCAATGAGATTTCGCACATTTAGATAGATGCAATAGATAGAACAACAGTCAACGCATAGCGGGTCTGCCGAAACACACAGTGCAGTTGCAGACCCTGTATGCCTTTTCTGAGGCCACTTATAATGTGAGTAAAAGAGGGTCTGTACCTCTTTGTCTCAGCGTTGAAATATATATGTAGGTATTAGCAACGTGGTCATAGAGCTCAGTCCCTTACATGTCATTGTTACGGCTGCCGAGGAGAGTTGGCAATGGCACTAAGTTTTTTTTTTTTTAGATGGAAAGCAGATCTTCTACTACCTTCTGTAACGTTGTCCCTCCGTACATTCCCACTGCGTATGCTCGCGTCTCAGTGCCACATACTCGTGTCTTGTACCGGCCCAGTAAAGCACCCGCAAAATTGCTGCTCCCCTCCCCCTTTTCGCCTGGCAAGATCAACGCAGGCAGTGCCTGCTAGTAGAAAACCGACTGCTAGCGCTGTACAAGCCGTTCACTAGGAATTCGTTAAGAATTCAGTCAGGGGCGTCTTTACTTAGATTTCACTTGGAGAGCGCTAGCGTGAAGGTCGCCGCCAGTGTAAGCTTTAGCGACCGCTGCTGCGCATGTGCACATAGTTCCCTTTAGCATGAGGTGGTCTACGTTTCTTTGTTTTTCTACGGGCGAATCTCCTTAAGACGTGGCCCATGCATCCCCGATGTATGTAGCAGTAGAAGTAATAGTAGTCGTAAATAGCAAGCTCTTACTTTGTTCTTGGAAGGCCCGCTGGTTGGCAGTACTCGTAAATGATGAATATATGATGGGGTTCAATAGATGGATGGACGAACGGATGACAGACAGACAGACAGACAGACAGACAGACAGACAGACAGACAGACAGACAGACAGACAGACAGACAGACAGACAGACAGACAGACAGACAGACAGACAGACAGACAGACAGACAGACAGACAGACAGACAGATGAACGCACAGATAGACAAACAGACAGACGCCAGATGAACAGACGGACTTACGGATGCTTCGTACCACACATCATCATTCACTCTGTGGATATGCTGTGATTTTTTTGCAGTGAATGGACATCTTGTTGCAGTACATAGAAGCTAATGTGTGGTCGTTCGACAGCATAGCAACTATGATTTTGACTTTGAACTTCGCGAAAAAAAAATTGTTTCCGTTATCAAAACAGAGACTACACTCCTTATGTTCCTTTTTTTTCTTGCTGGCAGAAAGCACCTTCGTACCGCCGTTATTCCTCTTCACCTCCTAAATGTTTATTTAAGGGTGGCCTCAACGCGCCCTTGCATATTCAGAGCTACATCTGCCGCATCCTCGTGAGTCTCAAATAAACAAAAATAGGGCATTATTTTGAAGAACATGGCTGGTTTAGTCTCTCAGGCAACACACATTAGGTGAAGCGTGTGCTCTCACGGAGTGCCATGGTACTGTCAAAGTACACTGAGATTTGAGTACACCTCCGAGCAGAACTATGCAATCTGACCATTCTCGCTCTCTGCAAGGAATATGTTATTTTTGCTGAAGCACAAGCATTTCGTTTTTTAACGTATAAATTATGAAACCTGAAATATTTCGGGGAAAGGAGAAATCCTAAAACAAAAAAATTGAATGCAATCAATATGCCAAGTTAGCATTAGCTTGCTGCAACAGTTATTATGCCCAGTTAGCATTATCTTGCTACAACCCTGGACATTAGAAATTCTGATCAGCGATATCATAATATTGTGTAATGTATTTTTAGAAGTGAACCTCCTCTTAGTCTAACCTTGTCCTGCGTCAAGCGTGACCGGCCGTATCAGAAGAAGAGACAGACGGATGCACAGGAAGGACAGACGGATGGAATCATCAACAGAAGCACGGACGGACGCACAGAAGTATGGACGGACTCCATGCATGGACGAACGAATGGGTGGAGGTATAGACGGACTTATGCAGGGACGAATGGATGGATGCACGGATGAACGCACTCACTGACGGACGCATGCACAGACAGACCGACAGAAGAACGGAAAGGCAGATGGACGCACAGACAGACGGATAGATGGATGTACGGGCGATTCTGCCCACTCAAAATCACTCACTCTATGGATATGCTGTGATTTTTATTCTGGAACAAGCTGTACTTTGTAAAGTACCCTGGTTTTTAGGGGATGAAATAACCATGGTCAAGCAAGCTTGTATTTAGTCTGTTATAAATGATATTAACGTGATAGCGTTGAAGAGTTCGTGTCGCAGAAAACCCGCCGCCGGCGTCGGCCCTGTCGGCTGGGAGCGAAAAGTCGTCTGTGCGTCTGTGACCGAAAAAATAAGCTACCGAGATACCCGCAGGAGGCCGCTACTTGTCCACGCGTGCGCACGCGATCAAACTGAAAAAGCCACGCATTCAAAAAAAAAGCGCTCAAGGTCACGAGCTGCAGTAGTTTCTTTGCCCTGCTACCCTTCCCTGTTTAGTTTCCTGCGCTTTCGTCGGGACGAGAGAACAGATACTGCCATTGCAGCTTGTGACAAATCTTTGTAATTCCACTCGCACTGGATGGATTCTTAACATTTTTGTGGCGTTGACGTTTGAGGCAATAAACATTTCTTTGAACGAAATATACTTTCTTAGTGCGCAGGGAACGTTTTCAGAAGGATTCTCTGCGCACTAAGAAAGTATAGTTCTTTCAGAAATGCAATACCAACCAGCCCAAGTAGCCACTCTTTCGCAATGGGCTCTTCTAGTGAATTAATTCTATGATTACATGAAAAAGTGGTTCAGGGCTCCTTTAACGCATTTTATTCGACAGGTGCCACGACGAAAACGAGCCAATTTGGCGATAATAGCGCTTGGTGGTCCAATCTACTGTGTGCGTGTTTGTGTGCGTGCGTGTGTACGTAAAAGAACATATCAATAAGTATGCACTTGGCGGTTGAAGGATGATCCAGGGGCCAGATTTCACTATCGCGTTCAACTCCTCAAGGCAAAGCTCGAGGGTCCCCCAATTTTTTCTCTACACGAATAAGGGTTACAAACGGGCTCAGTTGTGGAGCGTTCTGGGAATACGGTGATATTTGTGGTAGTGAAACCGGTTCAAATTAATTCTCAGTAAATACAGCATATTGTATTTGCACGACGACAGAATTCGCCTGCAATCTTGTCTTGCTAAACAGACTTCAGTCGTATAACAGCAACTGTTGCGACAGATCTTATGCTACTGAAATTTTCTTTATTTTTTCAAGGTTTTATATGTGCCCTCCAATTTTTTTCACCGATGCTTGCGTTCGCACACGGCTTTTTTTTTACAAAAAAATTAGTGCCCTTCAAGTTCAAGTTCATCGAATAGATGAATAAAGACACACTCACGACTGTTTTGTGTGAGTCTCGAATGCAAATCACTCTTTCTGTGTACGTCTTCAGGAACTTGGGCGTTGTCCATTTTCGAACTTGGTTGTCCGCATCATACTCGCTCCCATCCACGTCATAACCGTGCATAATCTCGTGAGCAGTTGTCTGTAATACAAGAAAAATTGAAAAACATCATGTTAACACGTATATGTGTACCGTAGATAATTCATAACCACACTTCAATGATACACACCTATCTATTTTTATTTTCTGCCCAAATGGCAAGCACGCACATTGAGCGGCTGGCACAAAGTGACAAGGAAAATGCAATCGTGATATTCTAGTGCTTCAGGCAAGGGTTTGAATATTAATATTGACGCCAGCTCGCTCATTGAACCAATATTTCTTGTGCCAACAAAAGTATGGTTGTTTAGATCCTCCGCTCGCCTCCGCAAACAACCACGCCATTCGAAGCTTTTTCGCATAGGGCACGATGGAGAGAGTGTTATTTACAGGTATACTTATTCCGGTATATGCACCATCCTCCTATAGTAGTTACACGCACTTCACCTTTTCACTTTCTTCCGATTCGTCCGGGTGGCTCAACTTGCAAACACATGGACATCGCCAGGACTTTCCACCATATCCAGCAAAGCTTATACTGACGATAGTTATAGCGCGAGAACAAAACGACGACGCAGAGACAAGAAGGACACGAAAGACATGAGACATAGCGCTCGTGTCTTTCGTGTCCTTCTTGTCTCTGTGTCGTCGTTTTGTTCTCGCGCTATAACTATCGTCATGCCATACCAACTAGCCCAAGCTGCCACACTTTTACTGACGTTAGGGCCGAGGCGACACGGAAAACTACGCGGAGGGTGGCGAACAATTGCATAACCAGCACGAGACTACAACGCCCTTCAAAAATCCTCTTGCACCACCTTCTAACTCTCCCTTCGAGATTCTTGGTGGCGACCTTTTTGGCTCGTTCCCGCATTTCTCTGGCGTCCATCGAAGGGCCACAGTCTGCGTCGACCACCTGACGTGCTGCGCACGTCAGGTGGTCGTCAGGTGGTCGACAACTGTGACAATACTTGCTACAACAGCATCTCACGTAACGCAGCCTAACAGGAAGTTTTCAACAGGAAGTTTTTGAATATTCTACGCGAAATTTTGAGTTACTCTTTCGCGCTAACGGGCATGCGTCGTATGCTAACTGGTTGAAGGTTCCCGTTATGTGACCGAAATAACGGGTGACCGCAACGAAGGCTTACTCAGCGTACACTCTTAGAAAACTTCCTATTAGTGTAAGAAAACGTCCGTTCGTCGCCGTCATGATTGAAAAAAAATAAATAAAATAAATATGCGTCTCAATGTCTGCCAGTTCGGCCGTGCCACGCCCTATCACCCGCACCCCAAAGACCTCGTGAAGTTTTTGGACTGGGTTGTGTTGCACATGCAAACAATTTATGTCACTTAAAAGCAGGAAACTTGAGACAATGTTGGCCTGCTTGGCCGCTACATCGCAAACGCGTACAAGACCACCACGCATGACACGACACGACACACCTTTCTTTTTACTTTACGTTCGCTCCCCTCGCAGCTGTCTTGACGCTATCCTGCCTGTAAGCTGTATCTGGGAACATTCGTTACGGAGTAGCTATGCTACGCTCAAGAAGCACGTCGTAACTTTGTTTGGTCGTGGACACCAGTCCGGAAACGTGGTTTGTTGCGGAAGTTCGTGAACCGTTACTCCTCTCCACTTCCGATTCTCGATCGCCTCAGTGAAGTGAAATGCGTTATCCCTAGTGTCATAGGCGTGCGTAGGGTTCCATTCACGGTGAGGGCGGCAAAGGTTTGTCGTTGTGCCACCCCCCATCCCTTTTATATCACTGCATAAGACTGACTTTGCGCTCCCCCCTCCCAGAGTCGCGACGCCCCCCTTTTCTGTTATCCTGCGGCATCGATGGCATCAATGCCAAGGTGTTAAAGAACACCAAAGAAATCACCAGTGTTATTCTTTCTCATATGTTTCAGCAATCGCTCTCATCCGGCACTGTTCCTCATGACTGGAAAGTGGGTAAGATCGTTCCAGTTCCAAAACCAGGTTCATCTAGTTACCGATTCATATCCCTAACCAGCGTTGGTTCAAAAGTAATGGAACATATAATTTATTCCGAAATTGCTAAATTCCTCGTCTCAGTTAAGTTTTTTCACCCTAACCAACATGGATTCCGAAAAGGACTCTCATGCGATACTCAGCTTGCATTATTGATCCACGACTTAAGCGCAAGTGTTGACCAGTTGACGCCATTCTTATAGATTTCGAGAAAGCCTTTGACATTGTTCCCCACAACCGCCTTATACAAAAGCTCTCTCAATTAAACCTAAACCAACTTGTCTACGAATGGATTAAAGACCTTCTCACTAACCATCAGCAATTCGTAGAAGCTAATGATACGTCTTCATTCCTTTCTAACGTCATTTCCGGTGTACCACAGGGAACAGTTCTGGGCTCTCTCCTCTTCCTAGTTTACATAACTGAATTACCCGATAATATTTCACCTAACGTTCGCCTCTTTATTAATGACTGTGTAATATACCGACCCATTACTAACGTTTCAGATAGAGTTACTCTCCAGCGTGACCTTCTGAAACTTGACGAGTGGTGCAGTAAATAGCTCATGGTTTTAAATACTAATAAAACTGCACTTGTTTCATTCTGCAGAACTTTGCTGCTGCTAACTATATAATTATTGACTGCACAGTTTCTTCCCTCAGCTATATTAAACACATTGGCCTTTACATTTCACAGAATCTAAGCTGGTCTTTTCATGTAAGTAAAATAGCTAACAATGGTAACAAAACTCTTGGTTACTATCGTCGTAACATACATCTTGCCCCTCCTTCAGTAAAATTGCTAGCCTGCAAAACTAATTCGCCCTAAACTAGAATAGGCATCCGCCATTTGGGACCCACCACAAAGTAACCTAAGTAAATTCATGGAACTAATTGGAAACCGTGCAGTTAGATTCATCTATACTGACTACTCATACCACACCAGTGTTATTACCCATAAAAGTAAAGCAGGCTTACTTAACCTACATCTACGTCGTAAGATTTCTAGACTCTCATTGTACCACAAAATGTATCATGCGTTTCATCATAACTCCCTTATTCAGCCAGCCCATCGGACTTCAGCCCGCACCAGTCACCACAAGGCCGTGTACCCCTTCCTGCTTGCAATACAGCCCACCATCATTCCTTCATTCCTCAGGCAGCCAGGGGTTGGAACGATCTTCCCTCAAGTGCCGTCGACTATTCCAACACAGATACAATAATTAAGAAATACCGTAGAACCGCTGTTTTACTAAATCTTTATTGTTTGCCCACTCCCTCAAATAAAGCCCAGTCTCGGGGGCCTTTGAGGTATATAATATAAAAAATAAATAAATATCAATGCGTGAGGATGACTTTCTGCCCCCCCCCCCTTCTTAGTTGACTACGCGAAAAAAAATGGCCACCCTCCCCCCACCCAGCCCCTCCCAGGCACACACCTATTTCTAGCCGAACGAGCGATGATCGCCACTTCCGACAAAACTCAGCCAACGCACGTCTCATGCATTGAACCTTATTACCACCAACCTTCCAATTGCTTCGTCCAAATGGCATCTTATGCAAACTGGAAGTGAAACGTGGTGGCGGAGAAGGAAGGAAGATGAAGAATATGAAGCTGGACTAGCTCGCGAGACGTCTCGTGATCTACTTTTTTCTGTGCTGTGCATCTATACTTCCCATCTTGCAAATAAATCCACTGCATTTTCAGGAAATTTATGCATCTCAAATAGTACTTACCATGCCAATGCTGCCGTAGTTCAAAGCCGGAGGACTTCCCACATTAAAAAACGGATGTTGAAGCACAGCTGCGGGGATCACCATTGTGTTCAAGTTTGTTGCATAGTAAGCGTTCACTTTCGTTTCGTCGAATATATATGTCGTATGGTCTTTCCACGATTGATGGGCCGCTGCTTGTAGTGCTGCCTTGTATGCTTTGAAGAACCTGTTTTTGTCCACGTCCGGGACATCATCTGTGGAATGTAATGCAAATAAATCTACCTAGTAATGATAAGGCTGTTTTTCTTCAACTAGTTCGTGCGGAAATTTCAAGCGCATGATGCAAGTGTTGTGATATCTGACTGTTCTCGTATGCGGCAGAATGTTGAGGCGGCATGAAATTATCCTGAGAGCTTTACATATCGCACCGTCACTGGAGTGCTCCTTTTTTTAAGTAACTAGCCGTTAGTCAATTCATGCAAACGGCTGTCGTCTGTAAAAAAACCTTGCCGTTCAGTTGGTCTAGCAACCGCCACAGCTGCGCAACACTCGGTCTCGCTTCACCTCGCTAGCCTTACCTTACGCAACGCTGCAGATACGGTGAAGCCTCGTCTCCGCAATGGCGACGGTGGAGGCACCATGCCCGACTATCACGACAGGTAGGGTGACGTCATGCTTACCGCGTGTGGCCCGCGCAGCAACCGTGTAGAGATCGAGACAAGATTAGAATTGCTGTCACCTAGTAAGCGTTTCTTGAGGAAGAAAAGGTTTGATTGGTATATCGGGTTTAGCGCCTCAAAACCAGCTTATGATTATAAGAGACGCTGTAGTGGAGGGCTCCGGAAACTTCGACCGCCTGGGGATTTTTAACGTGCACGCAAAATGAGCACACGGGCCTACAGCGATTCCACCTCCATCGAAAATGCCGCTTCCGCAGCTGGGACTCAATACCGCGACCAGCGGTTCGACCGCCTAGTGTTTCATAAGGAAGAATCCTCGTGTAGCGACGATGATGACGAACGGATATTTCGGCAAGACGACAATGACACTGCCGGATATGAGTAGTAAACAGCCATGAAAAGTTTACTCGGAAAATAAAGAGCCGTGTCACTGAGTACCACACGGCCGTAAAACTTGACCAATCGGCAATCGCTGAATTTTTTATGTGAAATTTTTCAACGAAATGGGCAATGATAACTGTACTTGCCGTACACATGAACTCGTACCACAAGGAAGCTATGCAAACTACACTCGTCCTACTTGCCTTTTTTAAGACTATATGCCTCACTTGTTTGTATGGGGCTTTTTTTCCCGCTTTCAGTTCACTTTCATTGTCATTTTGTCGCCACGCGGTGAATTCCTGCAGGTTATATATTTTTTGTACGATTTTGATAATGAAAGAACCCCATTGTATTGAATGAATGGTATCAATTTATCCGTGCAAAAGAAAAGCGGTAAACTTTAAACCAGATAATTTCAGGAATTGAATGAGCTTTTTTTTCTCTTTATGGTAACGAAATGGTTAATAAGATGACGGAGCTTGCACTCGTGGCGCAACAGTTCGAAAAGCAAAGCTGGTTGGTCGAATAGCCATAGTGAGCTCTAAAAAATCCTAGCATATACTAAGTTCACACCCAGCTTTAGCAAAGTTTGTAGCTAGCCAAGCACGAAAGTGGGATTTGCGATTCCCAAGCTGTATCCTAGCAGCTTCAGAGTTAAAGCAGTGCATAGGCGAAAATTAAGCTTAGCACCGACCACGTTCAAACCTGACATCACTCAAGTTAACCCTACGGATCAGCAAAGAAACGCCATTGGTTCATCTAGCATCGCTGTTTCAAGTCTTACGTGGCCAGTGCAACTCCATTTTTGTATAGGCTAATGTTTGAAATCGATCACACGATATGGTGTCTGGGAGTTTCTTTGTGCCCAATCTAAAAAAGAAAAACGCGCACTTTGCGAAGAGATTGAACTGCTTGTTCAAATTTCAGAATAGAAACTCTAGGCTTTGGCGTTGAAATTATTATGTGCTTTAGCATGGGGGTAAAATGTTTCGGCGCTGCCATTCTTGGTCATTACTTGAAAGTGAGAATTCGGTTAAAAATGCTTGTCTAGGCTGGAGTTCACTAAGTCGAGGGCTCTCTCTTCCACGACATCGTGAAGCCTTAAACAGCATTGTATAAACACACCACAGCCTAGTAGAAACTTGCCATCACCGAAAGCGTAGTCACAAAGTGTGTTAAAAATAACCAACAAAATGATATAAAAAGTTATTTATTAATATGTATCGACTTTGGAAATAAGTTGACGCTTTACTTTGAAAGTAAAATTAACAATAAAATTGGCTGTCTTCCTTCGACCTAGCTAGCACATTTCACTCAAGCGATCAGTATCATGCAATAAGAAGTGAAAATGACGCGTGCGACATGTTTCATCAATATTTTTAGCGTGAATCATAGAACAAATATTTTGTGCTAACTGCATACCATAATATTTATCTATCTTGGCGGGATCCAGTCGCTGGCCAGAACTTCCAATGTAGAATTTCATATTGCTGAGCTTCCTCAGTGCAACTCGTTTCACGTTGCTTTCGACCCAACTTGATGTGTTCAAAGCGTTGTGGAAGGCCTCACGTATTTTCATTGCCAGTGACGTGGCCGTCTTCACTGTCTCCTGCGGCATCACTGATTTCCAAGCGTAAAAACAAAACGATAATTACTTTTCAATTAACGGTACTCAAATCAACACAAATAAAGAAAAACATAAAAGCTTCAAACTGACAGGCCAGTGGTGAAAGCAGTACAAACGCCAGCATGCGTATTCCCTACACACTGAATGAAGATGACCTGAAATAACCTCAAAAACTGGGTAAACCATTTGTCCTCTGGCGCACTACCTTTCCTGGGTTTTTTTTACCACCTACTCTCGAGGTAAAAATTTACTCTCGTGCTAACTGAGTTTTTGAACGTAGGCAGAGTAGTAATTATTTACCCCAGTGAGGTTTTGAGCGAGTATAGAGAGAGTAAATTTTTACTGCCTTCACAAGGTTTTTGAGGGGATTTCAGAGACTTATTTCCGGTGGTAAAAAAATAAAAATTGATGGGTGCATTCGCCCAGAGTCGACAAATTTATTAAACAGCAGAATTGATTGAATTTATTAAACGGCAGTATTGCTGACACATAGATTCACATACAGACAGACACCCACACACAACAAATGTAGAATAAAACGCCACTCGAACAGACTGCACGCATTGCTCAACTACACTTTGACAATCCGGTATATATAGGCATGACTTTTTGACCTGCCTTGTAGGACCAGTAGGAGAGCTTTTTTTTTGCATCGATAAACAAGAACGGTTGAAGGTGCAAGCGCAAGCTTAAGGTGGGCTGCAGGGCACTAAATGTCACACCGACCTTTTATTGTAAATCTACCCAATCTCACCTTTTTGAGTATCTAATAATTACTTTGCACCCCGGGCTCATGGCCCTACGCGTGTTAGCACTGCTGATGCACAAGTCCATAAAATATACCTAAGTACGCACAAACCATGGTAGCTCAATGATTCTCATTGAGCGACGGTGCACAAACACAGTAGCAGCGCGTATTTATCAAAACGGGCGTAGAGGAGTGGTGCACGCCTGCACACAAGCTTCTTACTGACGGCGCACTAGGCCTTTTTGAGGAGAACGGCTATCCGATGTATTCGTCATTTCCGACACAAAGGAACACGTGACCGCTATCTTACGGGGACGGGGCGGTGTGACTTCCAACGAAAGACCACCGTCCGGGTTTTCTTCGTGCTCACCGGCAGCCGCTTGTTGGTTCCGTCTGCCTCGTATAGGCTTCGTGCTACATGTTTGAGAGCAGTTGGTGAATGAGGTGGGCAATTCGGGCAGCACTTTACTCATGCAGACATCGCCTACTGTGGAACAAAATATATGCGATGCTTCTTTCACATGCCCCGGCGACACCGGCCGCGGCTCGGTGCCGACGACAGAGTGAAGCATTTTGGTTATTGCTTCTCCAGTAGGCAAGCACGGACGATGACACCAGATTGATTTTGTTACCACTGGCAGATATTCGCGATTCGGCTCGGAAGCGAGATATCCGCGACGTGCAGGTTTGGAGGCGCTCAGAAGCGCACGGTCGTTTGACGATGTAGGAAACAAGTGAGATCCATCAGCCCAACCAGACACACAGATACCGAGCTTCTTGCACCGTCTGTCTCCAAGGTCAACGCCGAGCAAAAGCCAACAATTTGTGAAAATATGCAGGACAAATTTCCTGAGCAGGTTTTTTTCTTTTTTTTCTTCTTTTGAGATCCCCTCCCCCCCCCCCGTCTTTTTTTCTTTTTCGTTCACAGAATGCTGTTCTCGCTTGTTGTGCTTATGCTGCCTCCAGTTCCAGTGAAAGTGCGTTCACTCGAGGTCAGTCCCGAGGCACGGCAATGCCAAAAAAAAAAAACTGTGGTCCTCGCGTACCTTCAGGAGAGCGTCACAATGGGGGTATGGGGCAAAAGCCACGGAAGCAGCTGCACCTTGCAGTCACGTGGTAATAAACTCTAAAACGCAGGATAAAAATCCCGTGATAGAAAACTCCCTAAGTGGTAAAACTGGATTTTGACATCCTTTTACCACTTGCCTGGGAGGTGGTGGTAAAACTATGTCATGTACCATCTTTTACTCCTACACGAGGCAGTAATTTTAAACGCAAGAGAGTTTTCAGAGGTCATGAGCCGCAAAAACCCCAAACTCGGATAGTTTTTGCTTACAGTGTACTCAGCTAGACAATAATTTCGAGCTAGAAGTGGCAAACACAACTTGCACCCAAGTAAACATGCAGGTCAGAGCCTATTTGTAGGTTCCTACAGCTTGGTAGCTGGCTACTTAATTAGCATGCTTCTTAAAAGCTAATTTTTATGACACATAACAAGCTCCAGGAGAGGAGGATGTTTAATCGCCCAACACGACCCTCTACCTTGCTACACCAGTGGTACGTGTTGTTCTGTGCATCTAAACTGCAATACAGTAATAGACACCACGATGTTCTCTTCACTAGCCACTGCCGGGTATTTTATTACAGCTGCGGTCAGTTACGCCTGACTTACACTTGGTTTAACAAGTATGGAAATCTGGGCTAGTTGGTAATAGTTCATTTTTCGATAACTAAAAGTGCAAGAAGGACGAAAACGCAGACGAACAATAGGGGCTCGTGTTGTCTCATCCTTATTTGCGTCTTC